TCTCCTCACCAAAATGGTCACAGGCCCGTGGTCTAACTCCTCCCGTGGCTCCAGCCACTGCAGGTCTTTCCTGGCTGATGCGGTCCCCTGCCCTCTGCATGGCTGGCTCCTGCTCTTCCTCTGGACCTCAACTGAAGTGTCACCTTCTTAGACAGGTCCTCCCCAACCAACTCATCTTTCAGAAATCCTCCTAGGATTCTACTTCCCGCGCCAGCATCCTTCTCTTCATGGCACTTGTCACAAGCTAATGGAGTGTGTGTGTCCTATCATCGGACTCCTCTCCTTGACTGAAAGGTCCATTTGGCCGGGACTGTACCTGTTTGTTCACTACGCCATTGCCCTAGTTCAGTGGTCAGCAAACTCATTAGTCAGCAGAGCCAAATATCAACAGTACAACGATTGAAATTTCTTTTGAGAGCCAAATTTTTTAAACTTAAACTATACAGGTAGGTACATTGTTATTAACTTAATTAGGGTACTCCTAAGCTGACCTTTGCTAAAAACGTCCTCAATCTGATTGAGGTACGTTCGCTGAGGTCGACCCCTTCCAACTCTCCCATCCACACTCATCTTGTATACTTGTTTCGTCTATCTCATTTCCGAAAAACGACTTCTGCGCATGGGCCACGAAGTTTCAATCGCACTGTACGTGCGCGCCCGCACGTGGTATTTTGTGGAAGAGCCACACTCAAGGGGCCAAAGAGCCGCATGTGGCTCGCGAGCTGCGGTTTGCCGACCACTGCCCTAGTTCATCCAATACCTGGCACAAACAGACATATACACACAAATTGTTAAAAAATGACATGTGCACACACTTTCTTTAAAAATTTTTTCCAGCTTTGTTGAGAACAGGCTTAATTCTTTTAAATATATGTGTGTGTGTATATATATATATATATATGTATTTTATTGATTTCAGAGAGGAAGGGAGAGGGAGATAAAAACATTAATGATGAGAATCATTGATTGGCTACTTCCTCCACGTCCCCTACTGGGGATCAAGCCTATAGTCCAGGCATGTGCCCTTAACCAGAATCGAACCTGGAACCCTTCAGTCCATAGGCCGACACGCTATCCACTGAGGCAAACCGGCCATGGCTGTGCACATACTTTTTAATAATGTGTTCTACTGTTGACCAGATATTGCTTTTGTCTCTATTGTCTGGGCAAGTACTGTGAGTCAGGCGCTGTTCCTGGTGCTCAGAGTGCAGCAGTGACTAAAGCAGACAAAAGTCCCTGCCCACAGGCTGCCTTCCCGCTGGTGAGTCAGGCCTGGTTTTATGGAGGCATGTCCCTGTCACACCCTCTCAGTTCACTCTTTCGCTCAGCCTCCACCTGACCAATGGGAGCTAGGGGCTGGTGGGTAAATGCTCCCTCCTTCCATCTTGCGTCCTACACAGTGTCTCAGAGGCCCCCGGGGAACTAGCCCAGTTGCTCATGGATTGACCACCTCGATCATGCACGCTTGGGTGGGCTTTCTCCCCTTCCTGCTTCATTCTTTCTGGTTCTGATTCCTTCCCTGCCCCTTTCCCACAGGATCACTTCCCAGAAGAAGCTGCCTGCCCTCAGATCCCTCCCCAACACTGCTTTGGAGGAGAACCCAAGCCAACAAAGCCAGCATTTTCATATTTCATTTGAGTTATTTTCTACATTTCTGTACTTTGGGGTTCCTAAAGAGCAGGGATCAGCTATTCTTTTTTTATATATATGTATTTTCCCCCAGTTACTAATTCAAGGCCTGGCAAAGAAGAATAACATGTGTTGATGTTGATGTGATTAGACAAAAAAGAAAGAAGACAGTGAATATCTGTGGCCCAAGGGAGGCCAGAGCCACTTTCAGCACAGAGACCTCTGCCTGATATTGGGTAAGACTGGGACCCGCCAGGGCAATTACTGTTTTCTCTTCTGTGTACCCATCCTGCTCTCCTCGTCCCCTCCCCCGCCCTCTCAGCGGGTCCCTTCACCCTTGACTTCCAGCAGCAGCTGCAGGGGTCCAGCTGCTGAAGTAGCATAGGGCCCATAGCTGGGGGCTCACTCCGGAGCTCTGCCTGCCGCCTGCTCCCTCCAAGTTGGGAGTGGGTGAGGGAGCCCAGGCCCTACTTCCCAGGGGCGGGATCCACATGTCTGTCATCTGGTGCTGAAAATGACAGGATCCCGCTCCCACAAGGCCTCAGTCAGGGACTCAAAATGAATAAATGAATGACTTCAAACTTCAGTACCAACCCTGACTGGTTCTCATGGAAACAGAGAGTGACAGGCCCCAGGGAAAGGTGAAAAGAGCATTGGACAAGAGTTGTAGTTACGGGTCTACCACTAATTTGATGCTCCTGTGGTCATGTACCACTTTTCTGCCCACAGTTTCCTGAAAATGAGACCGTTGGACCAGATGATCTCAAAGATCCCCCAGCTCTAGGATTCTTAAATTACAGAACTGGAAGGAAGCTGATCTGTCAGTTCAAATAAACTTTTTCCCCCTTTTATGACTCTCACTGTTGGTAACAGCCCCATGCCTCCTCTAAACCCACTAGGTTCAGCTCTAGCACATTTGTTCTTGCGGACTCCCACGCTCCTTTAATACAAGCCTGGCATATGCTTGAACATATTTTTTGTAATTGACATATTTACTGAGATTATCGTGGATTCATATTCAATCATAAGAAATAGTACCCTTTGCACAGTTTCCCCCAATGATAGCATTTTGCAAAACCTTAATAGGCTCTCACAGCTAGGCTTTGATACAATCCACCTATCTTACTTAGATTTCCCGTTTTACCTGTACTTGTGTGTGTGTGTGTGTGTAAGTTCTATATAAATTTTATCATCTCTTCTAAAACCACAAGAATCCCTTATGTTGCCCTTTCATAACTACACCTTGCCTTCCTTCCATCCCACCTCATCCTCCGTTTGATGGTTTTTTCAACAATCTTCTTGTTTGGAAATAATTTCAAACTTGCAGAAACGTTCCAGTACATCTTCAACCCAGATTCGCTGATGGTTAATATTTTGTCCGTTTACTTTATCGTTTTTTCCTGTTGACATTTCCCTCTGAATCATTTGAAGGTACTAATAAGTTGCATACACCACGCCCCTTTATTCCTTCACAATACTTCAGTGTGTATTTCCAAGAATTGGGATATTCTTCTACATGCCCATAGCGCACGTTACCAACTTCAGCACATGTAACATTGATCCAGTACTTTAACCTCTCAGGATCCCAAATTGTCCCCATGTCCTCTATAAGCACTTCCACCCCTCTCTAGTCCAGGACCAGGTATCACCTTTCGTTGCCATAACTTTTGGGCACTCTTTAATCGGGAACATTTCCCAAGCCTTCTTTTGTCTGTTACGACATTGACGGGCTTGAAGAATATAGCCCCTGCCCCTTTTTAATAGACGTTCCTCATTGTGGGGTTGTCTGAGGTTTCATCATCCGTAGATTCAGGTTATGCATTCTACCTGGGAACACAGGTAGGTGATGTGTTCTGAGGATGTGAAATCCATCTGTTCCTATTGGTGATACTGATTTTGATCAAGGTGCTGTCTGCCTGCCCCTCGGTCAGTGTTTCCCTCGTGCTATTCATAAGCCTAAACCATCTCTGGGAGACAGGGAAACCCATGCAAATATCTTCTAACCAATAAACCCTACCCCTAGTGTGAGCATCCATTGAGGATTCTTGCCTGAGCCCATCTTGGTCTCTTCAAGTCCCTTTTCCAGGTTTTCTACTGTTTCGTTTCCTGGCGTCTTTGGTTCTGGTCCGAGTCTTCTCCCTGTCCTTTCAACATCCTCCCATGGCCTTTGGGCAGAGACTAGGCCGGAGCAGTAAGCTCAGCAACCTGGACTGGAAATGAGCTAATGTGGGCTGTTCCCCTTCAAACCGTCCACCAGGGATTTGCATAATAGAGTGGCCTGTGAGCGCTCACTTCCTGGATCGGTTCCTGCCGCCTCTCACCAAGTCCCCTCCCTCTCCCTGGGGTCCCCCTCCCCCGCTCCGGCTCTGGCTTCCCCCTCGCTAAGCCTAAGGGGTACTTTCTACGGGCGGCCGGGCCTGCAGAACCCGACGCCTGGACGTTCACTGCGCTCGCGGCGAACGGGCCGGCGCGAGTCCCACCCTCGCCTTAGACCGACCGGCCGGGAGCCGAACAGAAGCGCTAGAATAAATCATCGCGCGGGGGAGGGAGGGGTCCCGGTTTGGGTATTTTGTCGGTACTTTTCCGTGCCCAGCAGCGCGGGGAACAGCGCAGGGGCGGGGGCCAGGGGCAGCCCCACGAGGCCGG